GAGCCTATTGACTGCTACCAGTTCGCCTGGTTCCGGACATTTAATACTTCCTTTTAATTCTTCTTCCGTCAACTCCATGTCAACATTCTTGATCACTCCATATGATAAATTGACCTCCATAGCCCGCTGAATTCTCCATCCTCTTTTTTAAAGTCGCAACATTGTTCTAGTTTTTCTGCACTAATCTCATTCATCGTGTCTACTCGTACTTTATATGGACTTATGTATCTCAACCCTTCGATGTCTAAAATTTCTTCTTTTAAAAACAGTTTTCGCCAGAGTAAATTGTTTAGGCAATTTTTTTCATTAGACGAAATGTAAACTTCTATTTTATTAATTTTATTCTTTTTTTATTTTCTCTGAATCAACGTCCATTCTCCTCCGGCATCGTCTTCTCGGTTTCTTTTGGTAGGTCTAGTGTCTTCTTGTTCGACTCCCTCTCTTTGCGATTGTTCTGATTGACTCTTCATATCTTCCATATATTCTCCTAAAAAGCAGACGTCTTCTTCTCTTGATAAATCATTGATTCTTACTTCGCAATTTTCAATAATATTTGTCGACTCGGCGTTGTTATTCTCGTTCATTGTTTCTCGGCGCGGCCGACCTGCGCCCGTCAATAAAAACTGACGGTATTCGCTAGCGGCCGCTGCTAAGCGCAACTACGTAAACAAGGACCCACAATACAATGTAATATGCGTTTACCTCGCACGAAAGCCGCGCTGAGACTGTACTGGAAAAATATTGTGTGATGAACATAGTGTTTTTCTAGTGTCTGGGTGTTTATATATCTATAATATGCATTTATTTACAAAAGAAAGGTATGTTTAAGTATGTTTATCATCAGTTTTCTAGTACCCATAGTACAAGCGTTGCTTAGTTAGGGACTAGAAAATTTAAATGTGTCCTAAAATATTTATTTTTTATTTATTTATTTATTTATCTAACATAAAATAAATTTTACGATTTCATATAAATAATAAGAGGTTCAGTTTATTGAAATAGTTTATTACATAGTCGATGTATAAAATTTATTCTCCCAGAGGATTTCCAAGCCATGGATATACTCTAGGGCAGGTGTTGCAAATCTGCATCCAGTAGCTCATCTGTAACAAAATTGTCAATTTTAACTTTTTATAAGTTAAGATAACTGGAAACACAAGACTAAGATTGTTTTATTATCGAAGAACACTTATTAACAAAATTTAATAATGTCATATCGCTGATGATATCGCTTATGAAATGAGAGGACATTTATTGTCAACGAAAATTTTAATCTTTTGGGTGCCAATAAAGATAGCGTGAAATTATACAGTTACTTATATATGGGCCTTATATTATGAACAGTTAAAACCGTTTTCTAAAACTTACTTCCTATTTTTTCAGGGTTTTTTTAAAACGAAAATAGAAAAAACTATGATCAAAGTTAAGTTTTAATTAAAGTAACAGGCTTAACAGTAGGCATATAGGCTATATGTCTATATATGTGTCTTATGTATAGAATGTTTAGGGCGTAGTCCACCTCGTGAACCCATTGCGTATTGGCGAAAGTCACACTGTCTTCGAAGTATTATTTTTTAATAAAATATGCGGGTTCAAAATGTTTTCCTTCACCGTAGAGCACGTGATAAGTCAACACTTAAAATTAACAATTTCTTTGGTCCGGGATTTGATCACGGTTTGCTCGGGTATATTGAAGTAGAATCGTGCGCTCGGACACTACTTTAAAGTGAGTTAACTATTAATGAATAGCAAATATAGAACAGTCTTCTCAATTAAATGCTTCTCGTGACGAAATTTGGAAGAAAACCGCTTACCAAGTTATGTGTAGCGCTCAAAGGTCCACAGCTGGCGGCAGGACAACCGGCCGGAACATGCCTTTTACATCCCTTCCGGACGTATTCATTGACAGGAATAGGATCTTGCACCCACTCAATAACATCACTTCCGGTCACCTGAATAAAATTATAAAATAAAATAATTCTCATTGATTTCTTCAACCAAAATTTTAATTGTTTTATATTGCTAATCTTTGTTTAATAGTGCACGATAACGACTTTCGATATTGTTTGTATGCTGGAAAGGATATAACAATGGATGCGCCAAGCATTGCTTCAAATGCTTAAAAAACAATGTAGATAAAAGACGTGGGTTCGATTCCCAGGGCGGCGGCAATCTTTTCGTACTTTACTTTTTCTACAAATTTTAATACTTCAACCGACTTCGAAAAGGGAAATTGATTCTCAGTTTGATTGTATTTCATAGAGAATAGCACTATGAAAATGTAATATACATTTTTATAGTGCTATTCTCTACTGAAGACGAAACATTAAAATTTTTAGAAAAAACGGATGAAAAGTTCTTCACCGCTACGGGAATCGATACCACCTTTCCAGATTCGCACCCAGATGCTTTAACGACTGAGTTAAACAGCTAATTGCTTCACCGATTGTATTTTTAACAGACTTCAAAACTTTTTATGTTTGCTTTTTTTGCTCAGAACTTTTGAACTGATTTTGATGATTCTTTTTTTATTTAAAAGCTGGTGCTTCCCATGTGGTTACATATTAATTTCATTGGTATTGGATCTTGGAATCCGGAGATACTTAGGAAACTCGTTTTGTTTTTCGTTAAAAAATACGGGCTTGTTTTTTTGTTTGTTACCTCAGAACTCCACTATTTATGAATCGATATTAAAATTACCTTTTTGAAATGGATTTGGATTAGCTTCCATGTGGTCCCATATCAATATCATAAGTATTGGACTCCAGAGCCTCTACATATTCATGAAATAACATCCTCACATAACTTTAAATGAAATTAACCAGCGCAAATATATTTGCGAAGTTAAGCATGGTTGAAAGTCTTTTATAAACTGATTATTCAATGATCCCTCGTTTTTAATTTTATAATCAATGAATCAAATTAAACTTTTTTGGACTACCCCAGGGTTAACTGGTAGATAATGCTGATGGCATTAAGTCCACCTTTCCACATATTTTTGTGCATTAAGAATAAATAAATAAAAATAAGATATGTACGTACCATGAAAGCGTCATTAAGATTGTTGACCAGATCCAAGAACCTGACGAGAGCCCTCTGGACTGCGGGATAGACTCTAATATACCATTCATGTACGTAGAAACCAAATGGTGCCCGATTGCCGAGGTAATGCCTCTCAAAGTTAGTGAGGATGAACTTAAACCACGCTTCTTCATCAGTGAACGGAGGTCTGAAAGGGTAAATTTGATCCTCAAAAATTTTCAGTACAAGTTCTCTCTATTTATTTTGTAGTTAAGTGGTCTCTATAGGGTATTAGGGCGTAGTTCACCACGCGACCCCTCTACGGATCGGTAGACTTCAAATATCTTATATGGTTTGTACTTATTTCGAAAATATATACGATTCTTCACCGAGGAGCACGTGACAAGTCAGCACTTAAAATTTTATCTTATAATATCACTCTTGCTGGCACCAGGATTTAAACGCAGGTAACTGGAGTGTACTGAATTAGAAATGAGCGTCCGGACTGAGTCAAGGATGAATCAACTAAGTAATTAAGTTAGTCCATAACTTAGTTGTTTCATGAAAATATTCTCTTATTAATTGTGGTATGGCCACGCAGCAGTTCGCTGTTGCACGAATGTGCAGGTCTGTCTAGGGAAGCACCACGACCTCACAGAAGACCTGCATGTAGCGGAAGTGTTATATTTCTGCGTTTCGTCTGGTGAGTGAGTTAACTGGGTGACACTTTATTAAAAGGTGGCAACGCATCTGTAACCGGCTATCACTTAAATCAGATGAATAAAGAAAATGGTTAGAATATCTACGAGTCAATTTTATCATAAAGAATTTGCTGTAACTTTTTATACACGACCCGTTTTCTACCCGAGTCTACTGTTGTCGTAGATTGAAAATGTAGTCTCAGTAAAATCCCACTATGCTTTGAATTCACCGAATTTTTAATTCGGACTAAGTACAGACTATGTTTGATTGTTTAATTAACCTACTAATTGGTTTTAAGCGTGTAAAAATATCAAAAGGATAGACAGTTATGCCCGCCTAGAGTCTTGTACGGTGGAGAATAAAGGACGGAATTTGTCCGTGAAGTTTTCATGCGCATAGTCTTAAAGGAATATATAGAAAATCGGCTGGCGACTATTTACGGGCGTTTTTAGAATAATAAAATTAATGCATCAATACTTACACAAAAACACAAGCATCAGTCATAGAGCACGGGAAGCCATTTAAATCTGTCCAAGCAATCATAGGTAGCACCCAAATACCAGGAATGGATGCAGTTGGGCAAGGAGGAATAACGCAGTCTTGTGTAGAAGCGTAGTCTAGGGTGTATGGCCAGAGGCCAGGGCTCACGAAGCGAGTTGTTGGCCAGCTTGAGTCGTACTTCAATCCAGTTTCAGCCATTACTTGGAAACTTGCATTTCCAGTCATTTGAAGGAATGGAATACGAATGCCTGTGGAATATACGCGTTTTAAGTTAATGTGCATTGTTTTCATTGCATAATTCCGATATTAAAATGTTCAATATTCAATTACCTTGAATGGCATCTTCGGGAATGTTAGCGAAATGAGACATTTGACGTTTCTGATCACCGAATTCCTTCATCATGTCATCGTAAGTCGCTTCAGCCCAGTAACTTTGGGGAGTTTGGTGGCTGATGGAATGAAGTGCTATCTCGAAGCCTTGGTTGTAAAGCTCGTTAACACGTTGGTAGTCAGTGTACTCATGGTTAACGAAGAATGTAACACCAGCTGGACAGTTGTTCTTGTTCCTACGTCCAAAGAGGATTTCTCGGTATGTATCTATGTTGATCACATTAACGCCATCGTCAAACGTGAGAAGGACAAACTGTCGAACAAACATTATTGCTGAAGCTTACACCCATGTTTATCATTTCCACGGCAAACAATAATACGATACATAGCATACATACTGGTTTAACTTTTGTTTTTTAAGATTTATTTCTAGTCCATACCTGTGGAGTGTCTCTCGCTTGAAGTCCGCCTGGAATATTGCTAGAGGAGCAACGACAATTTGGCAATTTGCAAAGTTCTTCATCACATGCTTTAGCTAAAGGAAGCTCTTCGGCTGCTACAGCCAATGCGATGAAAACAAAAGCGAGCAGAACCTTTATCAATTTCATTTTTTAATTCTACGATGTCAAATATTCTTTTCGTGTCATTGTCATCGTTATATATTGTTTTTGATTATCAACTGTTTTATTTTTATCATAAAATCTATAGTGATCTAAGATTTTGATATGAATCATTTCATTGAAATAATATTATCGGATCTCTGAGAAATGGTCGATAAGTGAGTAGCCTTCTTAATGCACATGCATATCTGATCGCTCTTTTTCATTATAAGATAAGTATTTTAGATTTTATAATTACCGAAAAGATAAAATTTAAACAAACATGGATAGCAGTTTTTCCAGTTCATTTTATTTCAGATAAAGTTTGGAGTAAAATACATCTGATACATACAACGCTAAATTTAAATATATTTTACAATGTTGATAAAGCTTTAAAGTCTTTTCTTATGAAATGGGTTCGAAATTAAGAAAATAAATCTGCACTAGATAGCGTTAATATTAGTAATTTCTTTCGTTTTTGCAAATATGACACATTTAAATAAAACCAGTATTTCGGCAATTTATAAACATATCGCAAAATAATTATTAATAATATTAATAATTTAACTATTTTAAAATAATTAATAATTTAACTATTTTTTGAAAGGAATACTTATTGATATTCAATAACACTTATTAAATACGATCATTTGTATGTTTAGCGCCTCTTGAGAAGCTCAATTATCTTATAAGGAAGTAGGAAATTGGTCGGTATGTTATAGCAACGACCATTAATAAGTAACTAGAATTATAACGTGATATGACTCTTTCAAAAATTAATTATCTGCAAGCCAATACTCGCAACTAGGAATCTTTAGCCATTTTATTTTTGGTTTCCATTGGTATTTCGAAATAAAAAGTATATACTTTCCTATTCAATAGCCCTATTGTGAACAATTATCAAGTCAATCCATGCATCGGCGAGTTTCTGAGTTTTGTTGACACAAACATACGGAAACTAAATTTTTATATATAAAACATGTTACAAACTAAACACTTCGTCAGCGGAGGAATACTGCTATCTTTTAATACATAAGAGATGAGCCCATTATTTAAAGAACGTTGAGGCGTTGGCAATAAACGTCGTCTTTGGTGTAGATACAAATGGCTTACACATAGCATTACTGATAGTGTCCTTGGTAGACAGATAAAGTGTAGCTTTTGATGGTGAGGGTATCTAAATCTCTGTAACAAAGAGATAGCACGGAGAACGTGTCTAGATATAAATAAAATCTTCTGGTGTTGGTATATTCTTGTGTTAGATAGAAACAATGCTACAGATACCTTTTGACTTTACTATCCAACCCAACTACATCTGTTTGAAATATCATTACCATAACATTGGGGCTCATAACTAGACAAAAATTAGTTAGTTTTATTATTGCACCTGCCTAAAGATCCCACAACACAATAGGTTGACTGGCAGAGAATGCCTAAAGCCATTAAGTTCTCTTAGTATGCTCCAAATTAAAAGAAATGCAATAAAGATTAAATTTCCTTGCCAATAGAAAAATTCCACTGTTGCTTAAACATTAATATTAAATTGTAATGTAATGTATGTAATAAAAAGTCTAATGTATGTCTATGTAACAGTGTCTTCATTAATAAGTCAAAGCAATTTCGGTATCAAAATGTTCCTGCTTTTTTTGAAACAATGTATTTTTTTTAAAAGTCATTAAATAACATTTATCATTATAATGAAAGGTACGAGCATGAATATCTCGAAAATTTTTAGATTACACATAGATGCCTATGTACTTAGTATTCTATGGTTATGGCGAAGTTTTGTAAGTTAATGTTTTAAGTAAAAGTAAGTAAACCAAACTCAAACCATTAATAGTTACTACAACTCAAAATATTGTCCTTCTAGTTTATAAGTCAATATCCACCGTGCCACAGACGATCTTGTAACCCTTCTCACACATGTCATCCGGATGGCACTAGTGGTCATTTATTAGTTACTTTTTAAATGTTGTATAATTAAAAGACAACGGCAGCAAAATTGGCGTGGGCTTTGACTTTGATAGGGTTGTTAAGACCTGTAGTCTTGGGTTCATAGAATAGAGGTAAGGTATCCCGTGCCTGTCGTAAAAAGCGACCAAAAAGGGTCACGGATTGGCAGCAGCACGAAGTGGTCTCGCCAGAAAGTAGTTACGGAGGATGCACACCTCGCGATGTCTCTGTTGCCCGGTCCATGTGGACCGGTCCCTAGCCTTGCGGTCATCCCCGGTCCTCCGGAGAGACTTATAATACGGCAGTTTTTCCGTCCACGGCCGTATTTCAGAGCGCGCTCCTGGTGTATAAATTCTGGCTACTAGCTGCAAGACGGTGAGAGAATTGAGGAAGTTTTATCCTTCTCCGAGGCGTGCTCACGCCCAGTACTGATAGACACCGGTGCGTTCCGTAGGAGATCCCGGAGATCCTAATCCCGGAATCCAAACGTACAGAAGGTGGCCACCGAGGGGGTTTTAGTGGGTTCATGACAGGGTATATTAAAAAAAAGAGAGATTATTTAATTAATTTATATGGTTAATTTTATTAATTTAAATAATATAAATATACATGATTATTTAAAATAAAAATGCTACAACGAATAGTCATCGGTTTTGAGAGTCACACATTTAGGAAATGAGAATTTTAATGTGAACAAGACTATTTTTTAATAAATATATAAAAAACAATAATTACAAACTTCCCTCGTACTTTTTCGTATGTTGATATTTTTGATTGATTGATTGCTTGTATGATCACAAACTATTATAATCTCCATGTTTTGTTGACAGTTGATAAATAGGTGTAGTTATCACTAATAATATTATATACAAATAAGAGGTAGATATGTCACTAGCGCAACGAAATTGAGGCACTCAAATTACGCCAATTGGTGTAATTACATTGCAACTATAATAGACTGCTATCCTGTCAAACAGTAATAATAGATCAATTGAAAATACTGTTAATGTTTACCTTAGTCTATTAAAATATTAAGATTAAACAACCCCACTGAATAGAAATAATGTAATGTAAAAGCTTATACATGCCGCTTCAGTACAGAGAGTGTAAGAGGCATAGTCCACTGCGGATTGGCAGACTTCACATTTATCTTAGACTTTTTTTATATAAATATGCAAGATTTCTCACGATGTTTTCCTTTACCACCGACCAAGTGATAATTCAGCTCTTAAAGTGAACGGTATCATTGGTGTTGGCACCGAGATTTGAACTCTGGTTGCTCTGATAGCTATCACGGTTCGTCCACTGAATATTCAGGTATATTATATAACTGTTAGTAAAAGTATTATAATATAAAACTATTATGTATAATATATAACTATTTCGTCGTATTTGATTTAAGAATAATTTAAATTTTTTAATGTTGTGAAAGATGGTGTTGCTCCTCTATACATGAACTTGAGATGAACTGTAATTCATCTACATAGGAAAAGACCACTGCACCGGTTTTAGATGCGACGCCCTCCGACTGAGTACGGCTTGCCGTGGTAGAGGGGCTAAGTCGCACTTTGAATGCTAGTGAGGAGTGTGCGGGGTCAGGTTGAAGATGGAACAGGGCCAGCCACTCTCCCCCTATCTCTGCAACCGAGTTGGAGTCGCAGAGAAAGAGGAGCGCTGGTTTTACGTTTGGTCACCCTCCCTATCATCTGCAACTCAGTGGGGCTGCACCGTCGATGCAGCTGTGGTGGTGCCGCGCAGGAGGGGTTTCTTTACACTTTTGGTGTGTGGTGAGCGACGGAGCCCCGGACCAGGGCCGCCGCTGGGGGTTGAGAGGCTTATTGCTTATTAGCTTTGGCTCCCCTGGGTCGTTGGTCACGCATAAGAGTCTGAGAATATAACGCATAAGAATCTTCTAGCGTGTCGTATCTTAGGCTAGCAGTGGCAGGGTCGTCAAAGTGGGCGAAAGGTTGTCCTACCAATAGGTACAGCACCAGGGCCTGCGTCTGCTTGGAGGTTTCAGTTAGTTAGAGTCTAACATTACTAGTTTTTTCCCCCGTGAGGGCAGGTATGCATACCCAAAAGAAAACGATCTCGCTAGGCCACTTTGAGACACATTAATGTCATTAAGGCAATACACATTAAAATGTATCTGCGACGCAGGTACAGATCTTATTGAAAATGAATGAAATATACTGGTTTTACACAACCAACGGATGTAACATAATCTGCGACGCAGGTTGATAGATAGAGGAAATAGTAAAAACAGTAGCATTGTATTGTATTTTTGCACGTTTACCGTAATAGTTGAGACTTTGGGAGGGAAGGATTGTCCTATCGCATGGCGTCCTCATGGACCGTATCGGTGACCCTAGAGCCCCAATTGAAGGTGGCCATCGAAGGGGTTTTAGTGGATAACCCTACATAACCGTCTTATTCAAATGGCATGGGTATCTTTTGAAGACTTCCACCTGATACCAAAATAAGGTAGGGATGCATTGATATCTTGTGAAAATTGAGGTAATAATGGATCAATAATTTTAAAGCATTAATTTATTAAAGAAAAACAAACTGCTCAGACAATCAGTCACGTTCAAGTCCCAGCGGATTCCCAAGCCAAGGGTAAACTGCGGGGCAAGTATTGCACACTTGCATCCAGTAGTTGAGCTAGAACAATGATATTAGGTTATTCACTTCGTAAAAAAATTCAATTAGGAAAAACTTATGCATCTCAGTATGAAAAATTATGGAATGATCTGATGTATTGAAAAATTAATGTTATAAAATCGTAACAATCGTAATTATACCCCATTGTGATCAGCTCGAAGGGGGCCACAAGTTGTTGGACGGCAAGGTGTAGTAGTTACACGTCTGCACGCTCTCTGCGAGTACTCCGAAACAGGAATAGGATTTTGCGTCCACTCAATTATTTCGTTAGCATTTACCTGGAATCGATTTTTGTACTTTATATTGTGTAATGTTTAATAATATAACTATTGGTAAGTAAGCTCAGCATGATCTTCGTTTTTATGAAACGTTACTTTATTAGTTTGCTCAGTGCACTCTAGAAATGTCGACAACTGTTTTAAATTAGCATCCGCCATCAAAACTTTTGTCAGTTTTATAAGTAATTTAATCATAGTTTTTGCACAGAGGATTAACATATTTTTTTGCATCAAGAACCATTGTAGATGCACATAAAACATGTCATAATTATATGAGTGGTTCAGGTTAGGTTTAAAAGAATTAAAAAAGAGATGTATTAGGAGAAAAAAATTAAAAACTGTATTTTAATATATAATTAAGAAAATAATTACCATGTACGCATCGTTTAGGTTATTGACGAGATCCATAAATCTAACGAGAGCCCGTTTTACAGCTGGGTTTGTGGCAAGATACCATTCATGAACGTAGAAGCCAAACGGTGAACGGTTACCAAAATAGTGCCTTTCGAAATTGGTCAAAATAAATCTGTACCAACCATCTTCGTCAGTGAGCGGGGGTCTAGAATCAACAAATAAATGTTAGTAGATTAATAATAAAAGAGAAATTTCAACGCTAAAGCATTCTTTTTTCGGTTTCAGTGAAAAGTTGGTAAACGAACTGGCGGTTCACAAGTGATTACATTCGCTAGTTCATTCGTGGCGGTAATTTAATTTACTACCACTAGAGACGCAGAAGCATTATAAATATAAAACTTCCACTTCTCGTCGATTTTCTGTATGCCGTGATATTTCCCCAGACAAGCTTCTCATTCATACAACAGCTGGAGCGTGCTGCACTTATAATGCTTAAAAACAATATTAAAAACCAATCATTTCGACTCAATTAGGCCTTCCGGATATCAGTAATAAGACTATAGGGTTGGAATAGATTTAACATAGACTCTTAAAAGTTTATCCTTCATACATGTGAAAACACATGTCCACCATGGCACATGCAACTCCGTTTAGGTCTAACCAACTAGTCATCGGTAATATCCAAGTTCCAGGGATCGACGCTGTTGGACATGGCGGCACATTGCAGTCCTGTGTAGAAGCGTAGTCAAGGGTGTACGGCCAGAGTCCAGGGTTTACGTATCTGACAGAGGGCCAAGAAGAATCATACACTAGTCCAACATCGGACATAACTTGGAAACTTGAATTGCCAGTCATTTGTAGGAAAGGCAATCGGACACCTGAAATGAGATAATCGTACGCATTAGCATGTAATAGGTTCTATTATCAAGACATTATTTAAAAAAGCAAAAGATAGCATGGCTGTTTCTATTCTTTTTAAAATTTATCACTTATATCGCTTTCGTTTATGTTATCTGACTTACGAAATTGATTTTGGAGAGTGCTAACGGTTTACCTCTAAGTTGGTTAATAGGGATGAGACCGAAATGTGACATTTGTGTTCTCTGGTCTCCGAACTCCTTCATCATGTCGTCATAGCTCGCCTGCGCCCAGTAGGTTTGTGGCGTCTGATGGGTCATCGAGTGCAAGGCGATTTCGAAACCGCGATTGTATAGCTCATTGACCAGGGGGTAGCTAGTATGTTCATGGCTAACGTAGAATGTTGCGCCGGCCGGACATCCGTTGGAGTTTCTGCGCCCGTACAGGATTTCCCTGTACGTCTCTATATTGATAATGTTTACACCATCATCGAATGTTACGCTCACAAACTGAAAGCAAAATAGGAAATTCACACTTATCATTGATAATTTCAGAAGTAGTTATATCAAAAACCTTTTTCTAACTATTTCAGCTCAGTTCGTTTTTTTAGTTAAGTTTAAATTTTTCTTGGATAAAAAAAACTTTTTTTCACCACTCTATGCGGACCACTGATTATATAAGAAATAGTTAATTTACATACCTGTGGTGTGTTCCTTGGTTCCAGCCCTCCAGGTATACTTGTTAAAGAGCATCTGCAGTTCGGCAGCTTGCACGCATTCTCATCGCATTCTTTAGCAAGGGGCAGCTCATTTATAGCGACAACTACTGCTAATATAGATAATAAAATGCACAACTTCATCTTGTCCAAATCGATTCCAAATAGAATCGAAAAATATTGATGCGTTTTACTTTAATAGGTTTAATTTATAGGTTGTTATTATCAGATTATATATTGGAAGGTGTTGTTTCCTTTCTTTGTAAATCGCGGCGATAAAGAGGATACAAATGATTCAATTAAGATTATATCAATAAAATGAGGTTGCAACACATAAATTTACTTTATAGGACCTTTTGATAAAAATATGCGTTCTCAGAGAGTCGGTAAATTATAAGAAGAATTGAGCAGTTCTTCCATAATATTTTGTAATATATGTTAGTAGTTGTTATAAGCTTTATTTAAAACCTCCGAGTGCAGGTGTCATAAGCATTTTCTATAGTGATACTTTCTTTGTTTTTTTTTTTTTGGGATATGAATCGTTTTGATTTTTTTGATAAATAGTGTGATATCAACGTGTTTCGTAAACAATCAAAACCACGTCCTTGGACAAGCTATAAACATATGTATATCAAGGGAAATTAATTGATGATGACTATCTTCGTTTGTGTCGTGATACATTTGAGTAAATGATTTTTTTGCCTTGATCATTGAGAAAAGTATATTTAAGTATGTATATCAGTTATCTTGTACCCATAGTACAAAACGTTGTGAAAAATGTGTCCCGAAATATTTATTTATTTATCAACATTAAACTTTAACTCTGTATGTGAATTAAGATTTCTTTTTGCACTTTTTCAGATAACCTTTTTGTGAAAGCCAACAACCCGATTGGCTTTTTGCTCGACTTTTTAGAATAGTCGATAAACTAAACGATCATCTATTGAATTTTGAGTTCTTGACCCTTTATGAAGCCATGTTGTACTTCTGCAACACACAATCCCAGAAGACATAAAATTGTATCAAAACAAAGTATTCTAACAATTTAGTAACAAATCGGCTAACTAGCTGGTCACATTTTTAATCCGTTAAGATTAAAGCGATGAACGTGTGAAAAACGGTTTTGCTCTCTTAGAGTCTGTTTACGAAAAGTGATTTATTATTTAAATTGTGATATTTGTATATTAAAATTGGTGTGAGTAAAAGGTAAGTTGATGATTTCAATAATCAAAAATAATTTTTCTTGCAGATTCAAATATTTTATTTATTTTTGCACTGATTTTTTGCTATAATGCAACATTGCACATTTGTGACATATTTTTTTCTGTTTTTAAGAGAATTTTATTAAACTAGAATAATGGGAAAATTACCCAATTTTTTCCGACAATGACAGTGAAATGACCACGAAAGTTCTGATGAGGACTCAGAGGAACCAATACACGTGGCAAATAAAGTTCTGGCTGCCACCACCCTAGAAACTACATCCATAAATACTCAGTTCAGAAGTACTGCAACGTATCCAAATCCAGTCATCATTTCTCCTAGTACTAGTTGTATAGTGGCTTCAATCAAGTTCATCTAATCGTGTGCCTAGGACGAGCATATTAAAAACGAAAAGCGTGACCGTAAATGATGATCAACGACGTTTTTATGGAACTGAACGAGTCAATCCAGAGTGATGTCCAGATATACTTCGTTTAGAAACTCCTATTGTTCATCTCTATCACGTTTCATCTCTCTCGTTCGTATACAGACTATCATTAAAGAATATAATCATATTAAACTAAAAATAGAGATTTATATTTCTGTACATCTAATCTCTGTACTTAAGATGAAACATTTCTTTTTCTACAAATTTTAATGCTAAAATACGATATTTAATTTTGTCGTCTTGTGTAATTGTTTCTTATTAAGTTCCTCTTTAATTTTTCTCATTAAGTTCCTCTTTTAATTTTTCAAATAGAACTAACTTGTCAAGTAACTACTAACTATCTATGAACTAACTTGCAAATAATTCTGCTTGCGCCCCTCGTAATGAAGAAAAAAGTTGTATTACTTGTATTATGCTAAACTATAAGATATGAGCATTAATAAAAAATGTAGAAAACATAGGTAGTTGATTCATAGAGTTCGCTGCAGACATTAAAATTCCATAATTATCGTCACATAAGTTGAACATTTTATGTAGAGCTTTGTGCTTAATCCAAGAATTAAAACTAAAACTTTTCAGGATTTCAGGAAGTAAGAAATGTAAGTTAAATTCAGTTATTTTTAGAGCCATCTAAAGACAGCTTTTGACTAATATGTACGCTTTTCTCGGCATACCCGGGTTGTAGTATAATAATAGTTCATCAATAATCGCATAGATGGTGCTATCGTAAATACAGTAGAAAGACCCATTCCGCAAATTACATCAGTATTCACTAATAAATTATGTTGACTTATAATTATATTAAATGATATATATTCATAGAAATTTACATGTAATGTAATATATGTATAAACAAAGTTATTAATTAGTAATATTTGCACATAATTTGCGATATAAAGCTCAAAAAATTGTTGTAAAATGCGGGGGTTTCTTATAATTGTTCACCATTAACTTCTAAAGTATATTCTTACTGGGGAAAATAGTATTACATTTATAAAATACATAAAACTGCCGACTATGAGAGAACCCTTGGATTGAGAGATAATTGCGAGATTTTTTTTTTTTTTTTGGGCTGGATGAGCCACTGTTGGCCTTAGGGGCCTTTACAGATCCGACGGACTTGAGGTGGCCTGGCGCACGAGGCGCCTAGCCTGAACCTCTGCGTAATATTATTACGCGTTATTGTGACTAAGCTCGAGGGCTCCCGGGGGAGCCTCGGCTCGGGCCGTCACGCTATTATTATCACCGGTTTGGGAGGCCGCCAAGCTCTTAGGGTGCTTTGGCGGGCGCTCCGGCTCAGGCTCAAGGGTCCCCGAGAGGGGGCCTCGGCTTGGGCTGTCACTCAGCACGCGTTTAGCATTCCGATTCGAGGGTGCCCGAGAGGGCCGGATCTCGGCTCGATCGGTAGCTATTATCTGACTGGAATTACGAGATACAGTTATTATTGTATACTAGCTGCTGCCCGCGACTACGTCTGCGTAGAATAGGCTGAAGGCGTAACATTCGGACAGAATGACAGATATACATAAAATATTTATATAAATTATATCCTATGTTTTATTCTGATGTACAGTAGTTTTTGCGTGAAAGTGAAACAAACATCCATCCATACATACAAACTTTCACCTTTATAATATTAGTAAGGATGGTTTATTAGACAGCATAAAAATATAAAAGAAATGTTACAAAATAACTTATGAGGTAGAAACAATAATGCGGTCTTATCGCTAAATAGCGATCTCTTACAGACAAACTTGTGGCTGAAAGTATAATATTTTGGACAACGGCAGGTGGTGCAACTTACATACTAAGATCTGAATAAATTAAACGAATATGTTATAATTTTGTATAATAATAATATAAGTACATTCGGCAAATTCCGTAAATCGGGATATTCTGATAATCACAACTTTTATTATGAAATTTGGCAATAATTTTGCTCTGGCAACGTTCACCTAGCCGCGACCGTTACGGAATTAGCCGAATGCACCTTACTAATATATACCAAATAATAAGATACAATAGACATACATAAAACTAAACATATACTATACAATAACTCACAAAAACATATAAATGTCATGTGACAATCAATATTAACATAGTGACAGTAATAGTACTTATATAAAGTTAATAGTTCACTAACTGATAAAATTTTCATTCATCTTAAGTAATATAGAAGTATTGAAATTTTTATTTTTAGTGGTAGTCACTTTAAGATGTTAAAAGGCCCAGATTCGAATACTGACAATGGCGAAAATGTTTTCAACAATTGATCTATTTACACATTATATGATAATTATAGAAGCATATCGAAAAGAAGTAATTGAACCACTAGACTTGAAGAAAATGATTAGTAATTATTGTAAGGTATTCATCAGCAAAATACGATATATACGTTAGTTGTTCAGTTATAAAAGATTTAATTACACAGGAATATAAAATAGAGTTACGGTGTTACTTACACTATTTTATATTCCTGTTAAATTGACATGTATTGTAAAATCGTATGTAGACAAATTAAATAACTCTTAACTTAACAATTAAATAGCAACTATTTTAGAACGGATCGAACAGTTGTATTTTGTAGCTGAAACGCGGTTAAAGATCGTATCTTTAATACATTTTATGATAAAACAATAATTAAATATCTTCAAATAGTTCCGGAATTGTATGCGTTACACAATGAATGCGCTGCCATTAAGCGATAATGTGATATATTTTGATTGTAGAACTTGATAAGAGAATCATAATCTTGATTGGTATTTGGATAAAAAATTGGGGATACCTAGTTGATGCGCTTTTTTGATTCTTTTGTCCCCAGACCGCAATCATTGATTAATTGCAATGGAAAAAAATGTTTGTACTCATATGCGCAGGTAGGAAGTTACACTTCTTTAGAAAAATAACTAAAAATTTCATCCCATGGTACAATTAAATGCAGTTTATAATGGTTTAATTCAATGACTTGGCATTTTATATGTCAAAAAGTGTTATTGGTGCCATGGTAATACTGTGATGTTGGTCGCTTTGCAACTAACTTCTCCATGTCGGTGTGCGCGAATAGCGTAAAAATTTGACTCTGAGTATTTTTTCTAAGCTCTCCAAAAGAAGTATAACTTCAAAAATAGCACGAAAATGCAATCATTCATAAGTACATGAAAAAAAAAATTTAATAAGAAATTTTTAACAAAGACGATGCGGAAAACATATAAATTAGTTAATAAAAGTAAATTGCAAAAACTGTCTTTGTATGTACACAACATATACAGTATTTACTCATTTATAGTGTTAAATGTAAAAATTATTAAATATTTTAAGATTCTTAACAATTTTTCATTCGAGATAGATTGCTTTTCAAATACTAATTACCGACGAAGACAAGACAAGATAAAGTTACCATGTTCTGCGTAGATCGACACAAAAATTAACAAATAAAAACTTGCGGTAGCCCGGATCAACAATGACATCCAGACGTCCAACGCCTCAGTCT